TTTTGGTTTGTGTGCACAATACAACTGCATATATGAACGTACATATAAGCGGAAAAATGGGGCATTTTATGAAAAAAGTACATTCAAAAGGAAGAATATTAAACCCAATCTCTGTATTATACACATTGTATATATATGAAGATGTAGCTGTTTTCTTTGTAAAAACTTGGCTTACAACTAAAAACGATTTTTAACAAAATTTTAACACTATATTTCTCTGACATGCGGCACGGTCATAGGTAATATTTTGGTCCGCTAGGTGGCGTATGGGTCGAAATATTCGGGAAATCTGTTTTTACGAACCGATTTTGATCAAAATAGAAACATTGCTGAAAGTGCGACGTGAACACCTATAAGAAATAGGAATTCACTAGAGTCGAAATATTCATATTCACCATGCGAATTTGATGAAACTAAAAAAGTTTGCTGCGCAATATGAATACGCTGGAGTCGATCTGTATTTATGGTCCGAATCTGTATATATGCTCCGATTTTTATGACATTAGAAATATATACTAATGGTGCGAGGGAAAAACGTCTATGAAAAAATAATCCGCTACGTGGCGCCATGAGATGCTGGGAGGAATACGCAACTAACCTAACTAAGTACAGCAAAGAGATCAGGAAGACGAAGGGGGAAAGTTTCAGAACATTCTGTGAAGGTATATCGAATAGTCCAGCAGCTACGAGGCTACAAGAGACTCTAGCTAGAGGAACAGTGGAATCGGAAGAAGCATAAAACGTCCTGATGGCATCCAAACCAGAAGTAAATATGAGAAAGCAACAACTTTGCTTACAACATACTTCCCGGAGGCCACTACCTTGGCACTGCAGCCGCAGGTCCGCCGAACTATACCGTGACCATGTGACTGGAAACTGACAAGAAGTAGATTCAAACATAGAATTCAAAGAGATGGGAGTTGGGCTCGTTTGAACGCTAAAAGGCCCCAGGGGTAGATGGCATCCGGCCAGTCATGCTGCAGCAGGGTGGAGAGAATCTAATACCAAATCTAGCGGATATAATGAAAAGCAGTCTTGCGGAAGCTTACGTTCCACAGGTGTGGTGAAGAGCGTGAGTAATCTTTTACCCGAAGGTGGGTAAAAGGAATCACCGAAAGTTTCTGAGCACCCCCAGCGTTATTATTTAAAGATGTTAAAGATAAAGAAAAGGATGGTGTGCCAAGTTAAGCCAAAACCGTAATAATTCCAATTACTAGGAAAAGAGCCCTACCGGGTATGAGAGACATAATCCCAGACGAAACTTCTATGAATGAAAAATGTGTACGCGATCACCTCCAAGGCCACGAAAGTTTTAATGGTATGCAAGACTTGGCAGGAAAATCCTGGAGATGCATTCCCAAGATCATAGAATGGCTTTACGTTGTGATAGTCACTGATTACCTATGGTGCGGTAGCTTGTGAGGCGCACATGCTCGACTATGGCGCATGAAATAGATTCCCAACTTGAGCCTCTTCATATAAGAGTAGGTGGCAAAAAAAAACTGTGATTAACTTTGATAGACAGGGATCTGGAAGCTAGAGTCATCGCTCCCAGTAGCTCTGTTCCCCAGAGAAGACATAGGTAGAACCATAGTATTTGAGTTTCTCTGACTTCAAGGGTCTACTTCAGGGTTGCATACTGCACTGACACATAGATGGATGGACGGATAGTGAAGGGGCTCCTTTGCACATAACCAGATTATTTGTTCCTATGGGAAAATTTTCAAACATCTTCCAAGCAACAATCCTCGTCATCTATATGCGGAGACTATAATGATTATCTATCCTATGAAGTAATATCATTGTTAGTCCTTCGGTGCATTGAGAAGCTAACCTCCCTTGGCAGAAAAAATAACATCAAGTTACGAGGCGGTGGCCTGTTTTGCTAGAGACTAAGGGGTCACTTACACAAGCGGGGGGAAATGGTTCAATGATCTTTGCAAGTTCTGCGACTCGACTAGCTCAGTATCATGCAGTCTGCAGAAGACGTGAGAGCAGTCTAGGCTTGATGTGGCCAAAGCTTAAGCACATCCACTCCCAACCGCCGAAGGCGCTATTGAACATTCTGAGATATATAGGCTAAGAAGAAGTATTTAGGGCACAATAGATCGCCAGGTCGCAATGCAAACCTCATTACAATATCTATCTATCTATCTAAGCCTGTATAATATGTAGTAGCAGAGTTTAGAAATCACGCCCTCATCCCATTATTTTTTTGTATAAATATAGTCATAGCACCGCCTAATTGTGATAAAATATTTATAGATACATATATAAGTTGATAGGTATTAATGCGAGGCATTCATCGCAGTCCAGAGGTCGGTTGTACCCTCAATTTTTTCAAAATAATTCTTGTAAAACCTAGTCTCTCATAAAGTAAACAAAAAGTATGGAGTGAGTGTACTCAGACTGTGCTCATATAAAGCCTCCCAAGTATTCTGCGATGATGCCTCATTGACCGAGTCGTAAAAGCTAACTTATGCCGGTTACCCCACACCATGCAGACTTGTGTATGAATAACTATTAATATTCTGTTAGTATTCCAAGTTTCAATTTACGCTGAGAACACTTTTACATTTTCCTCTATTCACTTGTGGCCTGGTAAACAGGCTAGCTGGATTTCGTTGTATCAACTAAGAAAGTTAAGTTTTTAAATGTACTCAAGGAGCAAGGGAGATTTTATTTTAATCATAAAAGAGAAGGAGGACGACCTATATTTATGGCAAAATTAAGCTCGCATATTTCCCTATAGGATTAGCCACCTTGGTTCTGGGTCCAATGATTCCTGCGATTTTCGAGCAGGCTCTTTATCAATGCAAAGAAACCGCAAATGTCTATATTAAATTACAAAAAAAAACTATGCTTTCCCTTTTGTTACATCTCGAAAGTATTCCAAATCAAAGTCTTTAGCAAAATTTAGTAGTGTTCTTTTGGTAGCTTGCATCTTTAGGGAAAGAGGCTCCGTTCAATAACTAAATCCAGCACTGTCGTCGGAAATATGTGCACTGCACCAATTTACTATTATGGAGACACATGTTTACTGTTGTAGCACCGTTAGTTATCGCCAACACGTGGACAAAGTAACTCATGAGACCCAGACTGCCGTCTGGTTTTCCTATCACCATATACAGTCATCATAGGATTATGGCGCTGAATCTCCAGAAATTGTCTGCCAGACGCTTACACAACATTAAAGGTTTCGTATCTTTGATGATTGTTGCGACCAAATGTTTCTTTCATAGAAGTTTGGCAACTAGGATTAGTCCAACATACTTTGCTTCGCTGGTCGCACTATATACGACGCGTCTAGAGATATATATATTCATGATGGGCAGGACACGTTTTCCTGCTAAACCATACTTTGGTTAGTCGTAGGCACCCTTGTTCTTCGCAACAGAGTGTGCTCTCGAACTTTCTTGTGGTAGTGGCGCCTACGTCAATAGCATTTACTTGACAGCTGATTCCATTGCCAGAGAAAAGCTGAAAGAGTTCATTGACCACTAAGTTCTACAGCAAAGGAGGTGGAACCTATACCTGTGGACAACGCTGTTTAGTTAAAAGTCTTACACCGGTGTCGTGAAAGGTATCTCGGTATTCGGGCCGTCGATATGGGGTTGCGTCCGTGGACCTTCCTGCTCTAAATGCATGCTGACAAGGATGTTAATCGCTCAGCCTATTAGAAGAAAATTTCCTCGAATTTCTGTGCACCAGTAAAGGAACCAAACAACTGATTAATCACACAGCCCTAGAATAATAGTAATATAGTGCTCAGCGAAGAAAATTTTATAACATCTTTGTGATTATTGTCAAGAAGAGAGAAGTTTTCTCTAAAAGGCTTTCGCCTCTTGTTTATTTTGTATAAACAGATTATAGCACCACTTATTTATGCTCTTGATAATTTTAAGCAGGAAAAAGTTATTTTGCTTGAAACTGCCAAATTCGTATTAATAAGCTAAAGAAAATGCCCTCATTTAATTTCTAATCCGGTAAAAATGCTCAAGAAGAATTAAGCCCAAGTGTTACTTCATAGCTACTTACATAAACTATATTCCGTAATAGCTTCTCAGAAATGTTTACAACTGCTTGCAGTTTTCTTCGTACTATTGAACAATTTTGTAATTTCGCCTCAACAACTTCGCTTTTGTGTAAAATGACTCTGAATGCTATTCTCTATTGGAAAATTACGATGCTGCTACTAACAGTCGATTTCGAGAATGAAATTTACGGTTGCCAACTAGATCTCTCAAAAACACTTAAAGCAGTTGCATCAAAAACAGTTGGCAAAAATAACCCCTTAGTGAAGGCAAGCGGTGGTAAACAGAAAGTTCACACACAGTCCTCAACTACCATTGCAAACTTTACCAACAATTTACTTTTTATGGCGCTGCGGTTTGAATGATTTAATAAACTTAAGTGCTTTTTGTGAGTAATGCTGGTAGAATTATGCCCAGAGTAATTTACAGTTGCCAATTCCAATTCCAAAAAAAAAAAAATAAAAAATATCAAAAAAATTTCACCAACATCTGCACCTTCGGTTAGACCAACATTGAACTTTGCTTTTCAGTTCTGCTTTCTGAGCGCTTTCACGATTCTAAGTATTTCTTTTGCATATAAATTTGATTTGTAATTAGTCAGCAGCATAGCAGCAAATTGCGCCACCATTTTCGAATAGTCAAGCGTTTTATTGCTCAGCAGACGGAAAGTTTATTAGGTAGAAATTTGCATTTCCCCCTTTGTGTGAAGCGCTAGCGACCTTCAAATAATGCATTTATTTAAAATACCATTGCGTTTATAGTATTTTTTTTTTGTTAGGTTTTGTGTGATTGCGTATTCGTAAGTTTTTTAGTAGCTGGCATTATGTTAAAAATTTTTGCTTTAAATTTTAGTTTATTTTTTACTAATTTATTTCAGCTACTTTTAAAGTTATATTCTGCCTGCGTAGCACTACTTTTCGGGTAATTATACCAAAAATTTTCACAATATTTCATTTGTCTCCACAGGTGACCAATTCGAATGCAACGCAAGTGCTCATCCGCAATGTGGGCTTCGGTTTGTCCGGCAACTTCTCCTGCGAAGTGACAGCCGACGCGCCACTTTTCTCAACTGCCACCGCCACGGGTATTATGCAAGTTGTTGGTAAGTCAAAGCAGACAACTATTATACAGGTTTTTATGTTTCAAAGTTTGTTTTAAACTACCTTTTGCAATCCTTTATGATAAAATTTGTGTTTGTGTTTGTGTTTGTTAATTAAGCTTCCTCTTTCGTTGTTTTTTAATTAATTACATTTTTAGAAAGACTTGGATTTGGCTCAAGCCGGTCGGTACGTGCCTATAAGTTGAATGCTAATGAAGTGGGAATGAGGCGGATTTTTAGAGATAAGAGATTCATGTTAAATATATTAAATGTAATATTATTACGAACAGAAAAAGCTCACTTCTGATTAGGTTTTTTGTGCCACATCTTTCACAGTACAGTACAGCTACGAAGCAGAAAAAGGCCATGCAGTAAACTGCATTCAGGCTTTGCTAATACCAGCAAAGATATTTAAACACTATTTTGTTTGTATTACAAAAATGCGCACAATACGGATTGATTGATTTGCATGAAGAGATATATGTATTTGTCAAATATTAGTTCTCGCTATGAGCGAATGCCAAGAAGAGGCACATTGTACTAACCGGGACTCTTTTAAAAAAGAAATAAAAAGTTAATAGGCGACAAAATGGTGCTACCAAATATGCGCTAATTTTAACCTGAGTGGAACTTGGGAGTCACTACAACCAACCGCAACAATCCGCTGAACCGCGGATTGGAATTAAAAAAAAAAAAAACCAGTTCCCCAGTGTGAAATTAAGAAAAAAACCGATAAACCGGCTATATTGTACATAGTTTTCATACAGCGAAAATGCTTATTAAATTAAACTAACAAGCGTAAAGAAGGTTTCATTTTGCCTGTATGTAAAAATTTCGGGCTTTTTAATTTAGATTTCACAGAAAAAATTTTAGTTAGCAGTTTTGTAGCCCATTTAATTTAACTATAATAAAGGGCAAGTTTAAAGTAGCTGAGACTTACCATTAATTTTTGGATTATTATTTTTGGCTGAAGATGTTGCTTCATATCAACGAATATATTTCATATGAAAAAAAATGACTGGCACTTTCAGCAAAAAAAAAATTCAAAAATCAACAGTATGTCCTAGCTACTTCAAACTTGCACTTTCTGACACTAAAATTGAGTGGCCTATAGAACTGCATGCTCAAAATCTTTCTTAGAAATCTATTTAAATAGTTCGAAATTTATCAGACGCCATACTGGACCCGCCATTTTGAATTTTGCAATTCTGTCAACGGTTTCGAAATCAGCGACCCCGAAAACTCCCTAGTAAATATGAAATTTTAAATGATTTCTTTAAAGCTTCGAATTTTAGCCGCACTTTAGGGTTTCGGCCACACTGTGCGCCATCCGGTTACGCTGCATTTTGAATGGATCGAAGGAATTGATAGCCAAAGCTACTTTCAACCTATCCACAATATTTAAAGCATATTCTCTCTGGCAGTTTGATTAGTGCTACATGAAAAGTTTATCTCAAGAGACCAGTAGAAAGAAAACGTCCAAGAGCAGTCTACCTTACAAATACTACTCAGAGCCTCATCGGATCTATCCAGTATTTTTTCGAAGCCTTGATACCTAATTTGTGGCCCCAATTTGTGGCTCTTCCCCAGAACTTCTTCTTACTTCGTGGTGCCAATCCTGCTAGTTGCCGGTGTGTTGGTCCCTTTGCAATAACGGCATAACTCAAAATTTCATATATTGAAGTAGGGCCAATTAAAGATTTTGTGTTTCGTAATTTTGCTTGCTAATATTCATTTTTTTGTGTGAGTATAGTATATATTTAGTCATACGCCTATTCATAAAATATACGCTTTTTGCGTTATTTTTTCTTATGTCTATCACTTTTCGGTTCCTTCCGATTTACATTTAACGCAACGCTTGTTATAAGCGCTTGCAAGTGCAACGAATGTAAAAATTTATGTACTAGCAAGCATGATGAACCCATCTAGCGTCGTAGCCTTGCCAGAAGTTGGCGTATGGGTAGACAAAAAGGGGTCACTGTTTTACGTAAAAGCAGCTTTATACATACAAATGTATCTATGTACTTTCCTCTTACCAGCAACTATGCTGCTGACTATTTTAGCTTTAGCCAATGCAACGTAGTAGCCTTGATGTTGGCGATGGCGTTGATGAGGGTGAAAAGTGTTAAATGTTCAACGTAGGCAAAGGTGAAAAAAATAAACACAGCAAAAAACTAAGTCGTGGTAAACTGCTTACGCGCCACTTATCTCCCTTATCTCTTAGCAAGCGACGCGCGCTGATGTGCCCTGCCGCGCTGCATTATTTTATTTTCCAGCAGCATGTGGTAAGTTCGAAAAGATTTTGTGGAAAATTGGAGAAATTCTTCTATTAACAGGTCATTTCGTTCCGCGCGTGTCAAGTGATAATGGCATAGATAAGAAAGGGCGATGATAGGTACGATGGTACGAAGAAGTTTGCGCTTACATTAAAGAGTTGGGATATGAAGCAAAGAACGATATGTAAGAGTCATATCATAACACTGAAAAAATTTAAAAGCAAAGTAAGTGGTTTTCGTACCATATGGCTGTCCTGCGAACCATTTTCTCAGAGTATTCTGAATTGTAGAGAAATTTTAAAGAATTCCTAAAGATCTCATTCGATTTTTTGCCGAATTTTCTAGAATGAAATAAATTGTGGCCATTTCGATTCGTTTACGAAATTTCGGAAGAAAATCTGAAAATGGTGCTGCTTTGTGAAGAATTTCTTGCAGAATTTTTTCAGAACTTTCATTATTTTTCGTACAAAAATTTCTTTACGAGTTCATGTCAACCATTTCATAGAAATTTCTTTGAAGATTCGCAAAAAAAATGTTACATAAATGAGATACCCCTAAAGATTTCGGGAACTTTGCAGGGTTCTTTTAAAAACTGTAATTTTGTTATTTCTATTATATTTTGAGCAATAAAAAGGATTTTTTTTTTAATTTTTAAGTTTGTAAAATGAAGGTTTGCTTTTATTTTTAATGTTTAAACAATCAATAAGTTTGTTTTGGTTTTATCAAAAATCGGAAACTTTAGCCAAGTCCTTCTCCACATGGTCATTCCTCTGCTCCCACCAGCGTGGTTCAAGTTGAATACTTTCAGAGTTGGAGCGTCGGTGTCGAACGACATTGCCAACCCACCTGAGCCACTCTATTTATATTCGCTGCACTATGTCCATGACGTTGTAAAGCTCATGGTTCCATCGTCTGCGAAACTCGCACTGTATATCTTCCGCAAACTCTTGCTCAGGACAGCTGAAAGAGCTGCCTCATCCGGCTATGATACTCTAGTCTTTCCACGTAAGATTAATTTTCGAAGATAAGACTAACTTTAAGGAAAACTTTCAGTTAAAAGAAAATTTCTGAGGGTAGAAATGCTGCTCTTAGTGCTGAATTGGAAAAGGCTTGATCGACGCGTTCATTCTTTCGCAACATTCCTGTTCCGTGATGTAACAATCCTGAAGCCAGAGCTAGTATAGAAACTAAGTGGAGAGGTACCTGTAGTGTCAGCCGAAAACTCTGCTAAATTGCGTGTTGGAAAACAAAATTAACTAGTTTAATCCCTGATTACTTGGGACTACCTGATAATGAGAAATCGGACGACTTGTTCCGCACACAGCTAAAGAACTTTGGCGGCAAAATCTACCATCGGAAACTGGATAAATATTTCGCTTAGAAAAGAAAGATATTCAGCCATGTCAAACACTTATGTAACACATAATTTAAGACAGTGCCGTTGCTTCGTTAAGCAGATGGACCTGCAAACAAATTGTGCGATTGCTGAATGGTAGCCTCCATGATATAAATTCCTGTATGTTATCGACGTACGTGGCAACCTTATACGCCTCCAAACTTTGCATAAAGCTTTGGCAGCGATGCCTTTCAGAGAGGAACTGTTTTCTGTAAGCATTTTTTGTGTTATCTCTGACAATATCCCACATTTTATCTTTCTCAATAAATAAAGCCCATAAGTTAGCAGAAATTATATAAACCACCAGAGGTACCTGACCACGCCTTGCTGTTGCTCAATCTAATAAAATGGAAATATGAAAATCGGAGGAGAACTTATGAGATTTTTTTGCATTGTATATCCATCCACTTTCCGTTAATTTTCAGTCTCCCTTGAAGGTAATTCGGACATACCAATACGCCTATTATAATTTTCGGTCGCCGCCGGTCATCAGTGTGGGTTCATGTGAGGTAGCTCGTCGCTCATTTGATTAACTTCGCCGACCTACTATGTCAGCGGGTTCACTCTGTATTGCGATTCGAAAAGCAAATAATTCGGATTTGAATACTTAAGGCTATATGTTTGTGTATTAAGGTCTGATTATGGCAACTTAACTTAACGTAACTTAGAACTTAGAAAATCAAAATGAGGCAGACTTCGCCGAGGAATTAAGTTGCGTTAAGTTTCTCCTGTCCAAATATAAGCAAAATCTATTCAAGAAAATGTTTAAGGAACAGCCTCTAATATACGTTAAGTTTCCATAATCAGAGCTTAAGTCCTTGTGGGCTTTCGAATCACATTGGGCAAGTAGACCCATGGCATGCCTTTCCCTGGCATTCCAACTAAAACTAAAAAATTAAGAAAGAATTAATAAACGTTCCTTAAGTACCTTTCGTTTGATACCAAAACTGTAAGATATAATATGTCTTATAAATTTAATTTAATTAAATGTTTAAAACAAGTGCCAATCCTCTTTAGAAATATTTTCTGAATCAAGCTTTCTTAAACCACTTTATTTTGACATCCCTATTGCAAAATTTAACTCACCTTATCATTTTAGTTGAATTAAATTTTACAAACAGATGGCAACACTCGAAAAATTTTTGGAAATTTAGCTTTTTTAAGCCGCTTTGGTTTTATACCCATATTGCAATAATATATTGTTTATCTTATTAATTTAATCGATTTAAAATTTTTAAACATATGGCAACCCTCTTCAAAACGTTTTCCATGAAGCTTCCTTAAACCGCATATCCAAAGTGTAGGCTGATATCCAAATTGTAATACACACA